CATACTGCTCTTACAGAGCTATCTAACACCCTTAGAGAAAGCTCCTCCTAGGTAGTCAGTGGTGACATGTTTAGAGTGTTATTAAGCCTTTAAGCCTCTTGCCTGAGAGGATCTGTGTTCTTACCATAAGTATATGTCTTAGACATTTTACTGTGAAAGATGGTCCTTCACATTTCCCCTAAAATGTGAATAGGAATTCCAGCTTTCTAATGAGACTGAAATAAATATAATCAATGTAACTGGCATGTGAATAGTCCATTTCTCAGCAACATGGGGCAGTAGATTGCTTACCTTTACCATTTAGGCCAAGTTCATTCCAGCATATGGAAAACATGAAAGACATTGTGAGACTAGGTCCATCTTAAACCAAGAAATAAAGTAGAATGTTTGATTTCATGTAGTTTGGCATTGCTACACTTTCCTTAATTTAGTCTCCAAGACTTTGTTTCATCTCTTAAATGAGTACTGTTTCTGAAATCCAGCTTGTTTTTCATGAAGATACTATTCTTCTTTTATATAGGATTTTGTGCTATATTTAAGAAAAACAGATTGTTTTCAAGGGCATTTCTTGAGTCTAATTACAATAAAATGTCATATATATGGAAAGTATTCTGGTAGAAGAGACTACTCAAATTTATATAATTGTTATGATAAGTTTTAATTTATTCTGATACTTCACAGGTATATAGATGCCTGTAGCGGAGTATAAATTAAAGATTGATGTATTTCAGAATTTTCGACTTGACTGACAAAGATCCTTTTTAAACTCTGGAAAGCACTGACTAATTCAAAAACTATTGCTTTGTCACTTGAAAACAATTCCATGTGCCTAGAATCTTTGCTGCTTAGGAATATTGAATTATTGGGTAACAGTAACTATACTATTGTTAATCAGGCCTTTGCTCTGATGTAACTGAATAGTAAAGTAAACGAAGCTATCGCTTTATTGTTTTGTCACCCTCTTGTGTGACTGGTAAGGCAGAAATATAACAGCTGAAGGTTCCGAAGGGGCCCTGCCACGCCATGCTGGTTGTTCTCCCTTTGTTCTAATAGACCTCTGCAGAGCTCATGGAGAGTTGGCAAAGAGAAACCTGTTAGCAGGAGCATTGGTTGTAATCTATGTTTTTGATTATCAATGACAAGATCCTAAAATTACACCCAAATATCTCTCGCAGGTTCTGAAATTGAGTTTCTGAAAAAGCACTGCAGTAGTGATGGAAAGTAAAGTGCAGAGTTCCAGAGAAATGAGCTGCGAATTGAACCTGCAATGGAAATTGATCCTATCAGTCAGTTTTTGCCCTTATTCGTGGAAAAACAGGACTGAATGTGGAAGGAGCCAGGATCGCTGATTAAATGGGATGCTGAAGTGCTGGGGGCTAGGACTGGGCTTGCGGTTCCTTAGGTCAGGACTGCAGCTGTCAGCCTTCTCTGTTTGAAACCTGGCTCAAACCGGCAGAAAGAGAACAGAATGAAAAATGCTGCAGGCACCAGCAGGGGAATTGGTGTAAGAGCTCCCTGACTAAGCTTCCTGTGTGACGGCCAGTGCACTCTGCAGGGAGGCCATTCTAGCCTCTTATCATGAGTCAATGGGGCCTGTCACGATACCCATTCCAGGGAAGGGGGATGCATCAGTGTGGTCTGAGGATGTGAGTGTGAAGAGAAATGGCCTTGGAATCGATTCCTGTCCTCAGTAGCTTCTTCCAGATTGTGAGTCAAGAGGAACAAATGTCCTACAACTCGTGGTCCTATGGATATAATTTATTACCCTGGTATCTAACTGTAAGAGATTTATATTGTGCACGTAGAATGGTAGTAATGGTATGCCAAGTTTTTTTGGGCAGTGTTCGTATTCTGCTCCCAGAAATGTGGTGTGAATTGCAATTAACCTACCGAAATTACACATTTCTGGTTATGAAGTTGCTATTTGTTTTCTCCAGTGTGATATGTTTCTACAGCGATGCCCTTGAAAAGTCTCCAATGACGGTCTGGCCCTGTGGCTCACACCTATAATCACAGCATTTTGTGAGGCTGAACTGGGAGGATCACTTGAGGCCAAGAGTTCAAAACCAGCCTGGTTAACACAGTGAAACCTTGTCTGTACAAAAAATAAGAAAGATTATTCAGGCATGGTGGCACACACCTGTAGTCCCAACTGCTCACAAGGCTGAGGCAGGAGGATCACTTGAGCCCAGGAGTTCAAAGCGCCAGTGAGCTATGATCACGCCACTGCACTTTAGCCTAGGTGACAGCATGAGACCCTGTCTCTAAAAAGAAAAAAACAACAGCAACAAAGTTTTCAGTGACCACCAGTATAACTCACTAGAGTAAATATCCCTGTGGAATGCCTCATTCACAGTTAGCAGCACATTAATAGAAATGGTTCCACAGAAACACTGAAAATACAGGTACTATAAAACACTAACTTAAGATGTAATCATTGTAAATCCATTGCTGGTCAGAACTCAATTTTGCAGAATGGCAAAAGAAAAGGAAAAAAAGCATTGAAATCAGACAGTTTGCTGAGGATGAGTAGAAAGAATTGTCAGCTTTCCTTAGTCACTGGAGGTAGCCTATCAACACTACCTGCTCTCACAGGTACATGGTAGCACACAGCATTTCATTTGTGTGTATCTGTGTTTTGCTAGCCTTCCCCAACTCACTTCACTTTGCCTTTGGGCCATGGCAAAAGAAAATGATGGTACTATCTGAGGTAGCCCATGTTCCCTGTGTCATCGTGCTGATTCAACTTCTCTCTTAAGCTTTTGACAGATGGGAAGAGTGTTCAGGAATGAAAGTGTCCTTCATCCCTAGCCCCACTGATACTGACCCTGCCGTGTTGATATCAACATAGTATAGACACAACAGAACCATACACCATAGTCAAGGGCACACAAAGGCACAAAAGGAAATATTCTGTAAAAGCTTCTGTAAGGTAGCTTTGCCTTGGTTAACAAGCCAGTGACCTCAAGCCTCTTCTCATCTAAGGGTTTAGACCTCATACAGCGTCCGTTTCTAGTCTGTTAGTTATCACTCATGCCTATGGGGACTTTGGAGCCTTGGTCATAGAGATGATTGTTTTGTGTGAAGCTTAGCTATTTTATTAATACTTGGCAAATGTATGGAAAGTTTGAGACACAGTTTTACCAAGATGGAATTCTAAGAGATACTAACAAAGAGGAAGGGAGCTAGCATTCCAGAAACACTTGCCCAGTAGGCAGACTGAACCCTTTGTTTTTAAGCCTGGGGCTTAATTTAAGTATGTATTTTCTTGGCTAAGGAATACTGAAATGATGCGGGCTTATTTATGCAGTGGGAAATAATTTTCCATTGAAATTAAGTTAGAACTGCTCTGCTTGTTTAAACTAATATCTGAAGCCTTTAGTCATTTTATTAATCAGTAAAATTGATGCAACCCTTAGGAAAATGCTTTAGAACAGTTCTTGTGGAGAACTGTTATTAATAAGGAAAAGGGCAAAGAGACACATTAATCTGTTTATGTATATGGGATCTGGAGCTTATTAAAAGTTTTTATGAACATTCAACTAATGAAGCGTTATATAAAATTAGACATTTCCTTTAAATTGTAAAAAAATCACTAATGGGGAAAAATATTCGATGTTATTTCTAAATAACTTACTTGTGATATTTTCCCTACATTAGTAATTTAAATATAAAAAAATTAATATAGTAATAAGGAACGTTTCCATGAGAATGCCACTCAAGATTCCTTGGAGGAGTTTTCATCTTGCCTGTCCATGATTCCTAGAATTACTGTAGGACAGAGTAGAATGAATGATCAGTATTAACCTCATGTTACAGTCTGAGCAGATATCTAATCCTGTCTTGCATATATAAAACCAAAACATCACTTCACTTTAAACATTTTCATTTGTTGGAGGTCACAGATAAAGGGAGTGGTTCTAAGTTCTCTCTAGGTCCAAAATGATGGATAAGGCATTGTTGAGAATAGGCAAGAACTACTTGATTATTGATTATATGGAATTCTATGCAAATCAAAACCCAAAATGGCTTGGAGTTCTGCTCAGAAGTTTATGTTCTCTCATCATTGTATTATTTCATGCTGAATTCTCAAAGCTATTACCCTTATGTTTTGCAATTATATAAGTTCATGGTTAAAGATAAAGCATATGTGTCAGTACCAAGACTGATTACTTGCATCAAAGATCCAAAGGAAAAGAGGCTTAAATGAAATAGCGTTCAGGCTGAGTGCAGTGGCTCATGCCTGTGATCCTAGCACTCTGGGAGGCTGAGGTGGGAGGATCGCTTGAGGCCAGGAGTTCAAGACCAGCTTGAGCAAGAGTTAGACCCTGTCTCTGCAAAAAACAGAAAAATGAGCCAGGCTTGGTAGCATGCCCATAGTCCCAGCTACTCAGAAGGCTGAGGCAGGAGGATTGCTTGAGCCCAGGAGCTTGAGGTTGCAGTGAGCTATGTGACACCACTGCACTCTAGCTGGACCCTGTTTCAAAATAAATAGTAAATAATAAACAAACAAAGAAACAATCACATTTAATTTTTCCTAAAGAAAAGTTTGGAAGTAGGAGGTTCGTGGCTGATGTGGTATAGCTCAGTGGTTATCAGAAACTCTAGCTTCTCCTTCATCATTGCTTTGAATTCTTAACATTTAAGTACCTCAAGTTTCACCATGTCTGAATGAGTTTCAAACATCATATCCTCCATCCAGCTGATGGGAATGAAGAAAGAACAAAGATGGTGTTCCCTTTAAGAACATCTCCCAGAAACTGTTCTTTACATTTCATCTTATGTGCCATTCATCAGAACTTAGACACAGAGCCACATTTCACTACAGAAGAGAAGGGAAACTTGAGTCTTTATTCTGGGTGGCTTTGTGCCTAGCTAAAATTTAGGGATTATTCAGGAAGAAGAGGAGACCTCCTGGGGACAAGTAGGAATATCTGTGACATTTGGGCTTCACTAGGGCTTTTATCATTCTTTTCTCTTACGTTTCCTTTTCTAAACAGATCCCATGCGTGGCCCAAGAAAACTGGAAGTAGTGGAAGTTAAATCTCGACAAATCACTATCCGCTGGGAGCCATTTGGATATAACGTAACTCGTTGCCATAGTTATAATCTCACTGTTCACTACTGTTACCAAGTTGGAGGACAAGAACAAGTACGAGAAGAAGTAAGCTGGGACACAGAAAATTCACACCCTCAACACACAATCACTAACCTGTCACCATATACCAACGTTAGCGTGAAACTCATCCTCATGAATCCCGAGGGACGGAAGGAAAGTCAAGAAATCATAGTACAGACAGATGAAGATCGTGAGTACTTTTAAACGATGATGTGAAAAATGTTCTTTTAAAAAGCAACTTTCTTTTCAGATCTTTATCTTGAAACAGAAGAAAGAACTACCCACTTTATTTAATAATACACATGTGTATCTATATTCTTAAGCATGGATTGAAAGGATAAAGGGAATAAAGATACAGAAATTTATTTCGATTCTTTATTAGTCATATAGTTACTTTTCTATCTATATCATTCCATATTGCTCTAAATGGTTCTTCATACAAGTTTTATTATATTGTACTGGAAAATTGTGGTTTTGGTATTAGATTATTTATATGAAATGCTTGTTTAAATATATTTAAATGACATTCTAAAATATTTTTTATAGGTCAGATAAAAATTCAGCACAAAATAGAGGCTGCCTTTACTTTTCAACACAATGCTGAGAAACTATATCGAGTTGGTGGTTGTGAAATAGATCCTTTTTTCCCACAAGAACAATGTTGAAACTGGATATTACCTTAATAAACAAATACTTAACAAATAAACCATGCATGTCACCAGCAACTCATCAATAAAAGCAAATACACAACTGCAGTAGACTTCTAAAATAATCTAAAATAATAAAATTATTCCCTGAATTCCATAGCATGGATATAAATGTGCTTTTACACTGATTATTTTACAGGGAATCCTTGCGTACCATAACGTATTCATATGGTACATAAAATATAGTGGCAGTGTATTTTATATCTAATTTGATGTAAAATTCATTTTTTAGGCATAAAAATAAGAGGCAAAGAACTTGGGAAACCCGTTAAATGAATAAACACTGTTCCTGGGGAAAATAGATGTTTAACTTTTTGTTTCTTCATGCAAGTGATTATATAATTTTGACCATTGATTAAATCACAAATTAAATGTTTATAGTGATACTTTATTGTTTTATTTAAAGAGCTGTCTAAGTATTTTCGAGTGTCTTTGCCTGCCCACCGCCATGCGTACTGCTGTAGAAGAAAACCGTGGAAGCAGCCGGAGTAAATGAGGAGCTGCCCTCACATCCTCACTCTCTCTCTGGTCAGGCCTCCAGTCCTGCTTGTGTTGGCTCCTCTCGAGCATTGTTTTAGTATGGCTGTTTCTGGTGGGAGCCCTAGCTTGATGCAAGCCACTCAGTGGAGACCAGAATGTCTGTTTCTGTTTCTTCTAATTCTCCCTTGTCTCCAGGGAAAGAAGAAAGAGGGTGTCAACGTTGTCATCGAGTCATCTCTGGCCCCTTCCTCCCTTGTGCTTCTATATTTATTCTGGTCCTAACATCAGTCGTTTCTACTACCAAAGTTTTATACTGTTCTTTTCTCTCAACTTCCACTGCCTATATTCAGATTCTTATTATTTTATGCTGCGATTTCTGTGATTGTTTCTAACCTTTCTTTGTGGTTTCAGCCTTTGTTCATTCTTATGCCCCGCCCCCCCAACTCACTCCCTAATCTTTAAAATACATTTTCATCATGTCAGTCTCTCTGCAAGAACCTTCAGTGGCTCTTCCTCTTTATCTTTCATTCAAAGCCTTGGCTTTCTCAAGGTCTTCTGTGTTCTTGGCTCATACTCTAGAAGTATAACTTCTCCTTTGCAGCAGCTCATTCTGCAGAGGTGTCTCTCAGCATTGGTCCCCTGTGCCACCCTCCGAGCACACATCCTGATGCCTCCTTGTTGCCTGTCTGTTGCCCTCTGCCAGTGCCTTTCTGCCTGCTGCTCCTCAGTTCCATCTCCAGTTATTCTCAAGCTTCAGGTCCTTCATAAAGCTGTCCAACTCTTCCAGCCCATGCTACTCACATCCTTCTGACCTGATTTGCACTCGATAGGATCCTTAAATCTCTGAACCTCAAATTCGTCATCTGAAAAGTAAGACCCAAGGAGGTTCAATGATGTCCAGATCACATAGTTTAATTATTGGAGAGTCCAAACCCAAAACAAAAAGACTTTGGAAAAGACAGAAGAAAGACAGAACTAGAATAATTGCCAAAGAATATGCAGTTTGAAGAGAAAAGAATGGAGAATAGGTTACAATTCATTGAACACTGTGAGTTTTATTGTAGGATAATATTTTTATTAAAATAGTGTTTATTTAAACAGAAAGCATGTGGAAAACATTTACCTTTCTATTACTGTTAACAGTATAACTAGGCAGTATAGGGCTAAATTATACATAGTTAGATATTATGGCTCTATATCCCAAATCCTGAACTCCCAGATCTTCTAAAAGCAAGTACTGACCTAAGTCCCTATGGGGTACTATCTTCCCTAATTTAATTAATCTTCTGGTCCTTTCTTAAAAATTCACTTTATCTGTTCCTGACATTAAAATAATTGTATGAATCCCACTTAGGTTTTCTTGTCAACATTTCCACGAGGTCATCAATTAAAGGATCTCCTCCAGTACATTTTAATAAGTTTATCCTTTTAAGATATCCTCTGATTAACATAATGTTGAATACCTCCCATTTTATATTACTATTTTATTCTCTTTTATACTACTCCACTTGAATGAAACCAAAAGTTTGTTTTTCTAAGTTTTTACCCTCTTTACATGTGCACATAGATTAATAAATACTCTCAAACAAGAAATGCATACACAGAGAGTACAATGCACACCACCCGAAGGATGGACGTATTTGAAACTCGGACTTGCGGCGGGGGGCAAGGGCAACATACGTAACCTAAACATCTGTACCCCCATAATATGCTGAAATAAAATAAAATAAAATAAAATAAAATAAATAAAATAAAGAAATGTCATCACAAAATAACAGAGCCACTCATCATCATCTTGATACTGTGAGAAAACTGATGATAATGTCATAATAAACACTTTGAAGGTAAAGAAAAAGCTTAATAGAGTTTTCTCAGGCACACCCTGTTTCACTTCACCTTCTGATTATGATGAACATTTTAGTCTCAGAGTCTGGAATTCAGATCTTCTTGGAACTCACCAGTGTCATCACTTCTTAAACACCTTGTTTTTCTTTGCTTTCATGTAGTCTCACATAGATTTCTTCAACCTAAGAATAACAATTAATTTCATATTGCAGTGTTATTTAGGGTTCAGACATTAGAAATCAACATAATACAACTTCTTCATTTTACAAATGAGGTAACTAAGACTCACGGAGGTTCAATGATGTCCAAATTACACAGTTTAATTATTGAAGTCTTAAATTAGAACCCAAGCTTCCTATTTGAATCAGTTATTTGTGATTTTTTTTTGTTAAACAATATTTCACTCTATTTGAAATAACTTCAGTGTCCTACATCTACCTGCAAGTAGCCCCTCAACTCAAAAACACACATTGCCTATGAGTCCTTTTGAAATTCTAGGCAATCTTGCCAACTTGTGGCAGTCTTAGCAACCATTGAAAACTATGTCTATCCCTCCACAATCTAAAACACTTCTCCAATCCCCTTTTTTAAAACTTTCTTGAGATATGTTTGTCATTTTATCACCTGGTGAACATTTGGATTGTTTCCACTTTTTGGCTATTATGAATAATGCTGCTGTGAATATTCATATACAAGTTTTTGAGTTGATGTGTTTTTAGTTCTCATGGGTACTTACCTAAGAGTGGAATTGCTGGGTCATGATGTAAGTCTATCCATATTTAATCAGCTGAAGAACTGTCAGACGGTTTTCAAAGTAGCTGTATGATTTTACATTTCCTCCAGCAGTGTATGAGCATTCCGATTTCTCTACATTCTTGTCAGCACTTAGTAGTATCTGTCTTTTGATAAGAGCAATTCCAGTGGATATGAGCTGATATCTCATTGTGCTTTTGATTTTCAGTTTCCTGCTGGCTAGTGATGTTGAGCATCTTTTCATGTGCTTATTGGCCATTTGTTTTCCTTCTTTGGAGAACTGTTTATTCAGATCCTTTGCCCATTTCTAAATGGGCTATTTTCTTATTATTGGGTTTTAATAGTTCCTTTTGTATTCTAGATACAAGTTTCTTATCATGTATATGACATGCAGAAACATCTCCCATTCTGTGTCTTGTCTTTTTTTTTTTTTAACAGTACCATTTGAATCATAAAAGTTTTCCATTTTGATGACATGCAGTTTATCTATATTTTCTTTTGTTGCTTTTGGTTTCACATCCAACAAACCATTGTCTAATCCAAGGTCATGAAGATTTACACTTGTGCTTTCTTCTAAGGGTTTTATAGTTTGAGTTCTTACAATTAAGTCTTTGATCTGTTTTGATTTAATTTTTATGTGTGGTGTGAGATAGAAATCCAACTTCATTCTTTTGCATGTGGATATCCAGTTGTGTTAGCACCATTTGTTGAAAAGATTATTCTCTCCTCATCGAATTTTCCTGGCACTCTTATTGAAAGTCAATTGACTGCAAATGGAAGGGTTTATTTCTGGGATTCTCAATTCTGTTGCATTGATATATATCTGTCCTTATGCCAGTACCACACTGTCTTAATTACTGTAGCTTCTCAGTAAGTTTTGAAATCAGGACATGTGAGTCTTTACCAACTGCTTATTGATCACTCCTCCATCGCAAACAATCCCTTACCCCCAAATGTATATATATTGATAAAGTGTAGCTATTCTATAAATAGGATATACTGAATTGTATATAATATAAAGCATACTCAAAAACTGAATTTAAAATGATGAAATAATTTATAATAATATTAAATATTATTTTACAGAATATTGGCGAGTAAATTTCCATCTTCCCTTATATTAGATTTTCTTGCAGACTTATAAGAAGGCATTGCATATTTTAAGTTTTGAAAAAATGGCATTTTTCCAAATCTTAATATTATTAACAAATAAAATACAATTTTTAAAAACTGTATTATTTCATCTAAATCAACTTCTATTCTGTATGTACTTTTAATATATTAATACAGTTCATATATATCCTTTGACATGCTTTTGTTATTCAATATTATGATTATAAAATGTATCCATGATGATGTATATAATTGTCATTTATTTTCAGTCTTCAATATTTTATCATGTGAATATAATAGAACTTATTTAAACCAATTGGTTTGTTTCCAATTTGTTATTACTATTGTTATTATTATTAAAAAGCACTGCTATATGAACATTCTTGTATATGTCTTTTGGTACATATATACAAGAATTTTACTAAGGAACCTGGAGGTAGGATCATTGGGTCATATGGTCTTTGCATCTTCAACTTTACTAAATTCTACCAAATTATTTTCCAAAGTGGCCTTACCAATTTACACTCCCGTAAGCAGCGTTCGAGAATTCTCATTGATTCATATCCTTCTTCATTTCTTTTGGAAGAATGAAAAAGTTTATTTAGAAGGTGCTTACTGAGCTCTAATTGATTTAAGCTTTTTTAAAAAAATGTTGAAATTCTTTTTTAAAAAAATAAGGACAGTGTAACTAAAATAGTTTTAGATTTTAGATTTTAAAAAGAAAACTTGAATGTGTGCATAGACTGTTAAAATCTTGTGCCTCAATAGAAGGTTAAAACCTACCAAGTCTAGAAAACTCTACTTTGATTTTTTTTTTTTTTCAGTTTATTACTCATTCATCTCCTACTCTTCCTTTAGTCCCAGGTGCTGTTCCTACTGAATCCATCCAAGGAAGTACCTTTGAAGAGAAGATATTTCTGCAGTGGAGAGAACCAACTCAAACATATGGTGTAATCACTTTATATGAGGTAGTGTGTACATTTGTTAGTAATTTAATTTTTTATTGTAATTTCTTATGGAAATCTAGGCTATGTAGTTTTTAAAAATGCATAATAACATAATGCCTTTTAAGAAGTTAATGTTTTCAATAGTTATATGGTTATTGTATAGAATTAAAACTTTAAAATTAAGTTTTTAAATTGTGTATAATTTCAGGATACATCTTTACAATGAGTTGGATGTTTCCAGATTATGTGTTATTATATGTTAACACCCAGCATAACATTAAAAACAATAAGTTTTGAAACATACATTGATTAAGAGGTAACCACAGAATCCTATTCTTGCTTAGCTATGAAATATTTTACTACTGAATTATAGAAGAACACTGATTATCCAATTAGCAAAGTCAATAAAAATTGTCTCAGGGGTAACAATATAATAGTGTCTTTTAGTTTCTTAGTATTAGCAAAACATCTTTTAGACTTCTGTGACATAGTTTTGTCTACTGAGGCATATCAAAAGGTTGAATGATAGATAGCAGAGAAGAATTTGATGAATTGTTCAAGGAAAAAAATAACAGCAATAACAGGGTGACATTCATCATCACATCTGTGTGAGCATCATTTCACTGTGCCTATTGTCATAGAAACAAGCAGGTGTGTTTTTTTTAAGCTAGCATTTATTCGAATGCAAATTCAACAAAATTATATGTTGTAAGGTTTCTAGAAATTGTGGCAGATCCTCATGTGGAAGCTCTGCTTGAATACCTTTCAGAACTGCTGACAAAAGCCTGTGCAGATTAGCTGTCAGACAGTAATCACCAGTAAACCCTTCCCTGATCCAACTAGCCTCACATTTATGTTTCCTTATAGCTTTTGAAAATTGGTATTGAAATGCAAAAAAAAAAAAAATTAACTGAAAGCTAAATGAAGAAAAATACAAGGAAAAAGTTGATTTCTGTACAGTTATCGATGCTATTCATTGGCTGCTTCATCATGAAAGAATTGAGTGTTATGAAAATTCATGGCTCAGCTGTTATAGAGCTAAGTGTTATAAACAAATCAAATAAGTTCATATTTTTCCTCAGTGATGAGAATCTTCTAGTTAATATTTTTGGCCCCATGACTATTTTCAGGTCTCAGTTTTGGAGATTCTTACATGAGAGTAGAAGGATTTTTTTTTAACTGGAAAAGATCAATTTTTCTAGTAAAAAATATATCTTTGAAATCAACTTCAAGTTCTAAACACTAAGTTCACCTGTCCGAAAAGCTACATATTGCTATCTAGACAGACAGAAAACAATAGCGAGATTCTTTCTTTCTAATTCCATGGGCCATATATCTTTGTATGATAAGTAACTTTAACATGAAAACAACAGGAATAATAATTCAAAGGAATAACCCATTAATCTCTCTGATTTCAGCAGCCAGGATCCCCCCATTGAACACTGATCTAAATGCTAGTACAATGGGGATGTGTGGATGTGTTATAAATCAGGTTTTAAAAATCAGATGTGTGTAAGTAGAACAGGTTGGTTCATTTTTCTAGGGACCAAAGAGGAAATGTCAAATGTGTGAATCAGGCTAAAGTGATTAAATACAAGTTTTCTGGCCATCAGATCTTTTTTCTCTTTTCTCCTCCTACTTTTCTAGAAGTAGAAAGGAAGGGAGTTGCCAGGTTCCTACCACTAAGGTAGGTCTTAGGTAGACTCTCAGGAGGGAGCTCTTCTTTAGCTGAGACGCAGCTGGTGCTGTGACTCCCCCAGCCTGTGCCAGAGTTTACAGTATGCACAGCTTCCCACCTGAGCCCGATTGACGTTGAACCAGACCTGGTCCCCTCTCTGGAGGATCACAGTCTTTTAGGACAGACGTCACGCTAAGGAACTCAAATACGTGGTCCTAAAGAAGCAGGGACCATAGGAACACTGTATTCTGTCATGGAGTCACATTGGAATATAGGTAGAAACTGAAAGGTGAGATGAATTACCATGGTTGGAAAAAAGTTTGGTAATAAATGACACAGGTATTTCTTTGGGGTAGGTAGCACACTTGGATAGTTTTTGAAGGAAAGAAGGAAATAACAGATTGAATATTACTGATACTGGAAATTAATGAGCTATAGGTTTAGGTTATTCTCAAGTTCTCTCTTTACCTAATATGAAAGACATGCAAAAGCAATAAAGATTGAAACGGGTGACAGCATCATTTTTTCCATGGGTTATGGCAGTTTACAGCATTCTTCTGGTTTTACTCTTTGCCCTCTCCTTTGTACATACTCCTCTAACCTCCAGCCTCAGCCTCCCCAAAACTAGCCTTTCCTTCCTGCTCTCCCTGTCTCTGTCCTGGCTCTTACCCTTCTCGTACCACACCTCCCACTTCTGCCTTTTAATTTCACCAGGGTTATCTTCCTAAAACCTACGTCTGATAATTACACCTTTACTCAATACCTGTCAAATCTTTCCTTTTTTTTGAATTGTAAATGTAGCACTGTTCTCTGAAAGAATATCTTAAGTACAGAAGTGTTCACAATAAAATATCTTTGTTTCCTAATTTTGTTTTTCAAAGGTAAACTACTATTAACAACTAGAGACATGTCCTTCCAAAATTTTACGGGGTAGAAACTACAGCGCAAGTTCATTTATGAATATAAAATGGATGCAATGTAATAAATGTTAGCAAACTCAGCATTTTATTACAAAAATAATATGCCATATGAAACCACCACCTCATATCAAACAAAAGTAAATTCCAGATAGATTGATGATCCAGACACAAAACTTAAACTTGTAAGAACACTGTAGGAAAAACATAGGAGGATTTTTTATACTATATTTTTCTAAGCTTGACATAAAACACAGTAGTCATTAAAAAAAGATTGAGAGATTTGGTTATATAAGATTTTAAAATGCACACACGCACATATATATATACGATAAGATATATAAAATTCTGAAAGATGAAAGATACCATGAAGGAAGTCTAAATCCAAACAGAAGACTTAGATAAATTAATTTAAACAGTTACAGCAGTCAGTGGGCTGGTGTCTGTAATATACAGAGTCTTGACTAATAAGAAAAAGACAAAATACCCCATTAGGAAAAAAATGAAGAATAAGAGGAGATAACTCAGAAAAAAAATCCATACAGTAAGGTACCCAGCCTGACTAATGATTAAGAAATGAAATAAAACAAGTGCTACAAAAAGTTTAAAGTTCCGTAATATCAAACGTTAATCAGGGAGAAATGTGGGCATGCGTGGACTATTGACGGGAATATACATTTTGCAGCCTCTTTTGTAGGCAAATGGGAACATCAATCAAAGTTTGAACATTGCATATCAGACCTATTCCTCGAAGTTTATCAGTCAGGAATACTTCCAAATGCACAAGGATATGTGTCCAAATGTTTTTATTGTACCTCACTAACTTTATGTATTAATATCTCTCAATTGCCTAGTGAATAAATACCAGACTTTTGCTCATGAGAGTAACACATCAATAGACTTTTTTAAACATTTACTATGTGTTAGGTATTGGAAGAAAACAAAAGTAGAAAAGGTAATGTCCCTTCTCTACTATGTGTAACTGTCCTACCAGCAACTAACTAAGAAAAAAAATGAAACAAGTACCAAACTCAGGCACTCGGTGTAACGTGTGGACAGAGCATCCTGTGCGGTTTTGCTTGGGCACAGAGTAAAGTAGAGTGGTCTGGACGTGTCTGTGATGGGGCGTCGACGAGTCTAGAGTTGAAGATACCCCGAGACCCTGGGGCTGGGTAACCACCGGCTGAGATGGGTGACAGTGTAGGGGGAAGGAGAATTCAGAGGCTGTGTGAGGAAGTTTGCTTGCAATATTCAAGGTCTTTTGTGATCTAATCCCAATTTATATTTATTACTTCATCACCCGCTATTTATTTCCTGGAATTTAATGGGCTGCGTGTAGGCAATTTTCTTTTCTCTCAGAAGCTTCTGAATTCCGGCACCACTGTGCTTTGCTTGCGTTCTACTTTCCTCCTCTGCCGTCCCCTCCGTTCTCCTCCCATAGTACTTCTGCTTATTTTTCAGCATTTTATTCAAGTCCTATACTTTTCCTTGAAGTATCCTAGGTCCTTTCCTCCCCTGAAATCAGATTTAATTACTCATCCCTTTATGCTCACAGAGAAATTGCCTGGACCTCAGGCTAAAGACTGTGTTTCACGCTGGCTACAGTTACCACCACTCACAGTCCCTAGGAGATTGTGATTCCGCTCATGCTCAAAGGCTGCATGTTACCCCATCTTGGTTCTCCAGAAATCTCTCAGTTTAGAATTTGAGACTTTAAGTAGAAAAGCAGAAGATAATTTTAGAAGATTTCAAGTACTTAGTTGCAAATCAGAAATCATCCAAGAGAAGCAACAGTTTGTTCTGTCTCCCCTAAATCTGAAATCATGCGTTTTGGGGATCTCGGTTTGCTTTTGACCCATAAAATTTTATGGGCATTCCATAGAATTATCTACATCCAATGCTGGAACATCAGTATTCTTTATAGAGGCTTCGTTAAAATTTCCTGGAGCCTCAGCCAGTGATACAGTGCAAGTGTGAAAGCTTTCCCAAACTTCCCTTTGGGACTTCCCTGCTGTACTTAAGTACTTATTAAATACTTAATGGGCACTTAATAAACATTTTTTGAATGGACAGATGAAAAAATAAATACCAAAGAGATATGTGCATTTGTATTTTGAGTATGGAGGTACATTTTGGTGCCCTTTAGAGCAGCTGCTCAGGTTGGTAAGTGTTCACTGAGTATCAGCTCTGCGGCAGGCAGTGGAATTATAGAGTTAGATTGCCCCTGTTACTGAGAAGCTTTTTTCATTCCTCCTATTCAGACTCCATGGCTCTGTGGATGGGTTTAAGGGCGGGGGGGTGGTCCATGAACATTCTGACTTTTGTGTACACACATATGCACAACATGCTTGTTTGTTAGGGGTGGGGAAGATTCATACTTTTTAGGAATGCATGAATTAGTGTATAATGTGCATTTTTAGGGGTAGGGGAGAGAGGATCTCCAACTTTTGCCAAATTGTCCAAGAGCTGTGACTGGAAGACAGTGAAGAACCCCCAGCGTAGTTTATCCTGCAGTTCCATGGCTATTGGCAGGTACAAACCCCTGAGCCCCAGAGGATGAGCAGGTCCTTCAGTAACGCATTTGCTGCTTGGTCTGTGCTGTGGAGCACAGATCCCACGTACATAGTGCAAGTGTTTACGTGAGCACGTGCACACACCTGCTCGCCCCAGGAGTGTTTTTTGGGAAAATACATACTGAGTGCCAAATATTTACTGATCACGATGGAATCAGAAAGACGTATAAGACATCAGTAACTCCTCAGAAAGAGCTACAATTACTTGAAATGTTCCAATTCCTCTGGCATATTTAAATCATGATTGAAGACTAAACGAGATTTTTCCAGCACTCGGTGATTCATTGCCAAATGAACTGTATGAACACAGTCACAGTGCTGAGCATTCAGCTGATGTAGTGATGGTTGGGCCAGATTTAGGAAGGCTTTACAGGTAAGCACAACTGGAACTCTGGCTTGAGACGTGGATGGACACTTTTTTTGGTCTCAGTCTCATCTTTGAAAACATTCCCTTCCTTCCTCCTTCCCTCCCTCCCTCTCTCCTTTCCCTCCTTCCTTTTTGTTTGGGTTCTATGACAGTTCTCACTCTATTGGCTTCTTCCTGCATTTATGTTTCTCTTATATTACTGGCTTCTCCTCCTCTATCCTTTATTAAATATCGGTGGTCATTAGGGCGTGGTAATGGGCTCTCTTCTTTTTTCCTCTCTAAACTCCCTTCTCCAGTGATCTTGCCCATTCCCAACATCATTTCAATGCCAGTCACCCCCAGATCTCCATTTCCAGCCCAGTCCTCTCTGAGACCCCAGCTTTATGTCACACACAGATGTCCACTTGGCTGTCATAGGCATTTCCAACTTGATATGTCCACATCCAAGTGTCAGTTTGTCCTCATGCATTCCATCTCATTTCAGTAAGTGGGACTATCTCTTGCTCAAGTCCCAAACATAGAACCTATCCTTTGTTCCTCCCCCTTTGCCTTGCATCTTATCCATCACTGAGCACTGTCCATTTTGTCTCTGAAACATACCAGTTCTTTTCATCGCCTGCCGCCTCCATCCCCCACCTTCGTCAGGTCCACTGCATTCTCTCCCCCGTGCAGTAGCTCCAGCCCCCGGACTCTGCAGTGGTTCCTGCTGGCCTCCCTACTACCTTATCTCCCCTCCAATAAAACCAATCTCCCAACCACAGCCCAGGTGAACTTTTTATAAGGGGAATCAGATCATTTTATTTTCACACTGAAAAGCATTTAAGGGCTCCCTGTTGTATGAAATCAAATGTCATATCTTGGGGTAGGGAGCACCGTGTGCTGTTGCCCTACCCGCTTCTCCAGCCCCCCAGGGGCCCCACAGGCCTCCTTCCTGTTCATTAACTGGGCCCAGCTCACTCCTGTGTCATGGCCTCAGTTCATGCTGTTCTTCCCCAGACTCTTGGCCTGGCTGGCTCCTTGCAAAGGTCAAGTCTCCTTGGCTTAAGCGACATCTCCTCGGTGGGCCCTTCCCTGGCCTTCTAGATGGCTGTGTATGAATCTCTCCCCCAGTGATACTCTTTATCTTAGCACCCTATTGGTTTCTTCCGTGGAACTTAGTGTTTTAAAATTATTCGTGTGCATACTGTGTTATATGTCTCCCCAGCCCCACCCCACCCAGTCCAGATTCTTAGCTACCTCAAGTCAGGGCCTGTTTCTACCTGCTGACTACAGTGCATGCAGAGTGTCAGTGTTTAATCAGTATTTAAATTGAATAAATGAATCTGAATAGGTAGACAATGGGACAGAGATACTTCTATCATGTTCCCGGCAGGTGAAAGTTTATGAGCAAAAAGTGTTCACGGGGCAGTAAATCTCTATCCCCTTACCAGAACAGAAGGTAACCTAATGTTGTAGTGTAGCGTGTTCAGAAATAAGTTTGGAGAAGAAGTTGAATTCAGGTCTGAAACATGAAACTAAGGAGTTTGGACTTTGTCCCATTAAACTTTTTAGGCAATAAAATGAACCCTGAGACTAAGCTAGCCCTGGCAGGCAGTGTTCCTCCTCATTTGAATTACACGGTATCATAGCTGTTGGATTGCTTCTCCCTTTGCCCCTCCAGCCTGTGACCTCCTTCAGCCCAGGTACAGTGCCTGAATCTCACCATATGAGACCCCAGGTCAGAAAGTGCTTGGCACCTAAGAGGTGCTCAATGAGTATGTTTTGAATGTGTGAACGAATGAATAAATAAACACCGGGGAGCAACTGTGCTGTCAGGGCTTAGATCTGCCTCCTCTGGGCTGCTCTTTTTTCTGGGAGCATCAAAACAGAAGACCAGGCAAGCAAGCGACAGCCCCCCTAGGTGTTGCCAACAGCCCCCGGAGCAGTGGGGAGGTCGATCTGGTCTTGTCTCTTCTTGACTTCCTCAGCCTCGTGAGGGAGTCTGTTAGAGGGTTAACAACAGATACCCTGCCTGACTCTGATAGTGTCATGCACTGCATTGATTAATATATACAGCAAACATTTTCTTGCCAAAGCTTAGGTGATTCAATCTAAATATTCTTTCAGAGAGGTCGTCTTATTGTAATGACATGGTATAAATATAAAAAGAAAGAATGTCAATTATCACTCTGTATAATAACAGTGTTAGTGTTCATGCACATAAATTGTAAGTAAGTTTACCTATTTAAAAGCGAGAAAAGTGCTCAGTTTTGCAATTTAAAACTTTTGAATATGCCACATTTTAAAATTATGTCATCACAACCAGTAGAAGTTAGTAATCACTTCTAAAGTGCGTGTTCTTAAATAGTTGATGAACTACTCACAGTGAAATTCTTTAAAAAATCATTTCAAAGGGCAAAATTTAAAGGCACCTATGTTATATTTATTTTCAAACATTTCAGACTCATCCAACATGCTTTGAATTTCTGTTATGTAGCAAATATCATGAAAACTTCTAGAGCTGTACTATCTGATATGGCAGCTTACTAGTTACACATGGTAATTTAGATTCAGATTTTAGTTAATTAAATAAAATTAAATTTCCAGTTCCTCAGTCTCACTAGCCACATTTCATGTGCTCAGTAGCCACATGTGGCTGGTGGCTACTACCATACTGAACAGTGCAGAACAGAACGTCTCCAGCACTACAGGAAGTTGTGCTGGATAGCATTGCTCTGAAGAAAAGAAATGAACATGACCCGTAACGGGCACTCCACTCCTAGCATCAGGAGCTACTGGCACAGGTCTAGGATTTACTTTCAGAGCATATATCTTTGCCCATATTGATGCAAACATTTAAAGGTGTCCTTGTTCCCAACAGAAAATAATCCTATTCAGTGCTAAATTAAATTATGGCCACTAGATTAGAGATGAGGCCTTATCCTTATCAGTGTCTTACCTGTTTGAGATAGTTGTATATTTTGTTATTTTTTCCTAAACCTATCTATTGTAATGTACTTTTACAAAATGACATTTTGAAAGCAAACAACTTCAGGGTATTAGTTTAAACCTGAACTCATCCTTTATGTTCTAATCTATTGGCGTTAAGTTCCCCTGCTTATAAAAGTAATAACTCACAAGGGTTTGGGCTGAGTTCCCGTGACCCTTCCCTGGATTCAGGATTTGAAGAGTCTGAAAGGGAGAGCTGATCGTAAAGTGTCTGCCAGTGCATACATCAGAAGGGTTTATTGGATAAAGATGTAATCTGAGTGCATCTGCTCCAGATATTTTTATCACTTTCGTATTCTTTTGCAGATCACCTACAAAGCAGTCAGTTCCTTTGACCCAGAAATAGATTTATCCAATCAAAGTGGAAGAGTTTCAAAACTGGGAAATGAAACCCATTTTCTGTTTTTTGGACTGTATCCGGGGACCACATACTCCTTTACCATCCGAGCGAGCACAGCTAAAGGTTTTGGGCCTCCAGCAACAAACCAGTTCACCACCAAAATATCAGGTACTATACATTCATGAGTTGTGTCTTTTATCAGAAGCAACATTTTTGTACTTTTCCATTCCCATCGTTAAGTATGCAAAGCTTGCTCGCATGTTTTATCCAAATGAATACCTCTGGATGCCTGAAACTCAGACTCTGGAATTAAATGAAATGCTACAAATGTGTATTTTTTGGGAGCGTAAGGTCCTCCTGCATTAGGAAGTGTCCGCTGTTTTAGCAGTTTGCCGTGGAGAACTTGGACATGGGGCAGAAGGTTCTATTAAGGCACTCTCATTCCCTTGGCAATCCCAAGTTACTGGAGCAGCAGTGATGGAAAACTCTCTGTAATGAGCCATGAACAATTGGGAGCTCAGCAGAAAGGCAGCGTCACATGGAGTCCACTTCCAGAAGCATCAGGCTTCCGTGGGACCTTTACCATTAGTTGTTTCCCATCCTGAAGAGAGAGGCAACATAAGGGTGGTACCAGGCACTGAAGGGTCTCTATCTTTTTGCTTTCAGAGACCCAATTATGCCATCCAACAAAACACATAATCTGAGAAATATTTCTAGGCGTGTTCAACTGTGCAGAAAATGTCTTTGTACTTCAGACTAGAGGAAATTAAGTTGCCATCTGGTATGGGATATGTAACAGCAATAAACAAAATTCCATGGACATTTTCTTTTTCCATTTTTTTCCCCCCTGTGGGTGTGAGTGAGGAAGTGTTTGAGTTTTGGCTTTAACTATTTTGGTTGGGGGTAGATGGGATGGAGCTGGGGGAAGAAAGTAACTTTTTATCAGACAGAGTTAGATCAATAATATTTAGCCTGGCTTTTATACCTTTATATCCCTCATTCCTAGTTTTATAAGTTTTTGTTTGAAGTTGAAAGAAGGGAATATTCACAACTAGAGTATTACAAGCATTCCACTAGGTTTTGAGGTAAGAAGGTTTGGGATTTTGTTTTTAAGTGATTACAACTTAAAAGGATAATTTTGATTTGTAACATTTTATTTATGAGTGCAGACTTGACTTCCAATTTAATATACATTTGATATTCTATATATAGAGTTAGGTTATAGGAACAATATGAAGAGTTGGAAAAGAGGAAGTTCTTGGGAGGTTAGGAAAATGAGAGATTAGAAAATTGACCTAGGTTGTAAAATGGGTGGGCAGAAAGACCACTGGACTTAGAAAATCTGGGTTCTAGTTATGTCTCTGATTTTGATCAAGTAAATTTACCCATGCATATAAATTGAGATGATATTACCTAGTGCATGAATTTGTCATGAGGATTTAAAGAGGAAATGTGTGCCAATATGTATACCTCCAAGCATTTTCTTAAAATTTGCCCCTATCAAAACCATATTTCAGAGATTATTATCTTAAGGTATTCTTTTAGGAAAAAAATTCACTTTTCTCATTTTTATTAAATAAAAATTTCAGTCAATATATTTTTGACCACTTTTAGCACACCAAGTTCATCTAGTTCTATCCAAAAGCAAAGAAACTTGACATTTCAGTTAGCCTCTGTGGGCTCATCAAGAATAACTATTTGAATTTTATAGTTTTTTGAAAGTTACATTCATGGGCCCTATTTTCTGTTTTCATGGACCTAAGATAGGAAACTATTCTCATATACAAAATGTAATTCTGTGTTTTGAATTGTAGTTAATTTGTTATAGAATGGAAATTAATTTTTAATACTGAGAAAATTCACTAAATGGAACTGAGAAATAACCCATGTCTGTTACATAGAAACTTTTTTTATATGTAAGACAATTTTAAAAACTATTTACAAGAAGCAATCTCTAGCTTTCTAGGGACCTGTGGGTTGTGCAAAGACGGTATAGCATTTCACATCACAGCTCTATACAATGATTTGTCTTGTCCCTCGTGGGGGCATAGTTACTGAAGAGCTCTGTTGTTATCCTATCACAATAAGACTTACTAGTCTGGAGAAGAAAGAATGCCAGGAAATGGCCTTGGAAATAGGATTCACGTTGGGAGGAGAACTAACATTTGTAGAATTATGTTTGCCTAGCACTCTCTATCTATTGTCTCTTTGAATTGTGTTAACCTTAGAGGGTACTTTCCCCAGTTTTGACAGGTGTATAAACTGAAGTTCCAGAGATAATTAATGTGCCTAAGCTCTTAATGCTGGCTAAAACAAAACACAACAAAAAAGTTAAACCTAAGCCTTTCTTACTTCAATTCCCATGTGTTTTCCACAGTCATGCTTTCCTGAGAGCCCAGAAGTTGTCACTAATTAATTCCAATAAGTCCCTGGCTCCCTCTGTGTCCTCCTTAAATCCCCAAATGGGTCATTAGTACGTGAAAAGCCTTGACTTAGATGGAAGAACTGTAGAGTCCAGGTTTATGATCCCAGTGATTATTTCTTAAATATGCCTTTAACATAAACATTTTATTAAAAATCTTACATGTACAGAAAAATGCACAAATTATAAGTATATAACTCGATGAATTTTTACAAACCGACTACACTCATTTAGCCAGAATCCAAATCGAGGAATAGAATGTCACTGACACCTCATACCCTCTCCCAGCTTCAAGTCGACATCAAGGCGGTCAATATGTGCTAGTTTAAGCAGCTGTCCCTGTTACTCTGTGTAGGGAATATACGTAAAGCTTATTCATGGTCAGTGGATAGCTGCAACGTAAAGTAAGTGCACTATGTTCTTAACGTTCTTTGTAAAAGAAGGTGGGAAGTAAACCGAGAAGATAAACCAGAAATAATGAGTCTCCCATTGTACACCTTTTTTCCCAGCACCCTCTATGCCAGCATATGAACTTGAGACACCTTTGAATCAAACTGACAATACGGTGACAGTCATGCTGAAACCTGCACACAGCAGAGGTGCACCTGTCAGGTACGAAGCGAAGGGGTGGGCTGACTCTAGAGAGAAGAAAACTAAAACCAAGTTGATTAATTTCTCCAATGTGTTTCCTAGGGATTTGCTACAAACCTCAGTCAGCATGTAAATCCATATCTTTATTAGCTCTAATTAAAAGAAATGACTGAAGAAAATGAAAGGGCTTTGATGTAAGGTGATCAAGTATTATTTAAAGGGTTTTATTCTGATGCAAGTGGGTTGGTCTTTTGAAGATAAGGAACAAAGCCCAGTCTGTTGATGAAATGGCTTTGCTTCAAAAAGGTAATTGTTGGCTGTAATTTAGTTACCCAAGGGCAGATGACATTTTTGTCCTGAGCTCTGTTCTTTTATTTTTTTAACTTTAATAATTATGGACACATAATTGTTGTATATCTTTATAGGGTGTATATCTTTATATGTGATCTTTTGATACAGGCATACAATGTGGGCTAATCAAGTCAGGGAATTGGGGTATCCATCACCTCAGGCATGTATCATTTTCTTGTGTTGGGAGTATTCCAGTTCTCCTATTTTAGTTATTTTAAACTATACCTTAACTTATTGTTGATTATTGTCACTTTGTTGTGCTATCAAATATCGTTCATTCTATCTCACTATATTTTTGTACCCATTAACCATCCCCACCTTATCCCCCACTCCCTGCTCCCCTTCCCAGCTCTGGTAACCATCATTATACTCTCTGTCACCATGAAATCAATTGTTTTTAATATTTAGCTCCCACATATGAGTGAGAATATGTGAGATTTCTCTTTCTGTGCTAGGCTTATTTCACTTAATGTAACGTTCTCCAGTTCCATCTATGTTGTCGCAAAGGACAGGATTTAATTCTTTTTTGTGGCTATATATTAATAATATTCCATTGTGTATATGTACCACAATTTCTGTATCCATTCATCTGTTGACGGACACTTAGGTTGATTCTATATCTTGGCTATTGTGAATAGTGCTGGAATAAACATGGGAATGCAGATACTTTTTTGATATAGTAAATTCCCACCCTTTGGATATATACCAAGCAACGGGATTGCTGGGTCATATGGTAGTTCTATTTGTACTTTTTTGAAGAACCTCTGTACTGTTCTCCTCATGGTTGCACTAATTTATAACACATTCCCACCAACAGTGTACAAGAGTTCCCCTTTCTCCATATCCTCGCCAGCATTTATTGCCTGTCTTTTTGATAAAAGCCATTTTAACTGGGGTGAGATGATAACCCATTGTAGTTTTCATTTGCATGTCTCTGATGACTAATGATGTTGAGCATTTTTTCACGTGTCTGTTGGCCATTTGTATGTCTTCCTTTGAGAAATGTCTGTTCAGATCATTTGCCCATTTTTAATCAGATTATTTGATTTCTTCCTATTGAGTTGTTGGAGCTCCTTATATATTCTAGTTATTAATCACGTATAAAATGGGTAGTTCA